TATGTTTTGTCTAAATCACGAGGTCGGTTGGGATGGAGGTGAAGCCGACTCTAGGTGTGAAATCCTGGTGTCTCCATTCATCGAGAATTGTGTGACACGCATCCGGTTAAACGCGGGGTTAAACCATGGAGCTAAATGGTTAAACCAACAATGTAAGCGTTTTGATAATTGTAAACTTGCAATAATCTTGAGACGACAAGAAAAAAAACTAACTACAGCGAAGTCAGCAAACAGATGGAGTCTCACGAAGGTGTATAAAACACATCCTCAATGTGTGTCCACGCGTGGTCAATGTGAATGTCTTCACAGAATAGAGATAGCAGTCCCATGACCTGATCGCCAAGTCGTGTGGCGCCAGTGTCTATAGGACAGAAACAGACAATGAATAATAAATAAATGCGTTTAGTCCGTGCGATTTGCGTCGATGTGCCAAGTCCAAGTGGGTCGTCGGTAGGATGACAGTAATATCAATGAAATAATGCATGTTTTTTTCCGTGGTTTAATGGAAACTTTAAAGCATTTATAAGTGTGTGAGAATACACACTTGTTGACAGAAAGTACTTGACGAATAAATACAATGGGGCGTGGGCGGCTTCAGTTGTTGAAAGAGAATAATTATCGACTGGATACAATGGAATATGGCAAGTTCAACTCGTTAACAGAAAATAATGTTGTCACAAAAATATGTAGGACCATGATTGAATACAATGACCGGCGAAAAATATATATTGAACGCAATGAAGCGTAATCAAGTCACCCACTGTCGTTGTTTAGAGTATGTCGCTCTTTGACGTTTTACTTCAAGTGTGTCAAAATAATATTCTTTGTTTACATACACTGTACTAATCGGGCTCTGGCAAAACAAAGCATTTCATTACAAAAAGGGCATACATAAAAAAACGCAATGTGAAACGATTGTTTCCCGTTGTGGTAGGTTCACTCCCAAAAGCAAAATTGTGTATGATAAATATACATGTATGTATATAAATAGTATTCAAAAACACCTCGCGTTATTTTTACTGCAACAATTGGAGTTTATAGTTTATTCCTAAAGTTTGATGAGTCGTCTGTCACTTCATGCAAAATTTTGCAGGCGGAGCGCGGGCGGAGATT